TCTCTCTCTCTCTCTCTCTCTCTCTCTCTCTCTCTCTCTCTCTCACACGCACACTCTCTCTCTCTCTCTTACACACACACAATCATTCACATGGATTTCTTTTGTGATTGCAGGGCTACAGCTACCAGCAGAGCCTCTCTGATGCCAAGGAAGACAACAAGAAGATTGCAGCAACCCTGGAGAGTGTGGTGGCCTCCCACTCTCAGTTACAGAGGGCCATGGAGCACCTGCAGACAGAACTCGGCAAGAAAGATACACAAATTGTGCAACTTCGGAAAGAAAGGTAACATATACTGTGTGATTAAGATCAGAACATATTTATTGGAATATGAAAAGGGTTCAGGGGTCATTATATCTTTGCAAGAATAATCACTGAATAACCAACAGATGGAAGAATTGTCACCTTTTTGTAGTGCTGTATTTGCTCTACAGGAAATTATTTATAGCTTTCATCTTCAGACCATGAAATTTTGATTCAGACTTCCCTTTTTGTATATTGTTTTACACTTATCTATAGTGTACCACTTAGGCTGGTCCTTACAGTTTTGTTGGTGGGTATGGGGGGGGGGGGGTGAGCTTTGACAAGTTGACTTCTAATTGTTTGGACCAATCAAAGTTAATGTGGTCAGCCTGCATAGTGTGAATGAGAGCTCCATTTCAGTGACTCTCTAAGTGTAGAATACCTGCATTATGGAGTTGTTAATTTCTCAAAGTTTTTCAATACTGAAAATTGTAGCGTTAAAAAGGTTTTATGATTGATTCTCTGTTGTTTCAGGTCCCAGGTCCAGCAGGCCACGCATGGGATGCAGAAAGAGGTGGAGACACTTCAAGCCAGGCTTATTGCCATGGAAACACTTGAGTCCAATGAGGTGATAGTGAAAACGTTGCAGACTTATTTAATAATGAAATCCAACAAATTAATGTTAATTTTTGATGGGAAATATTGTTTGAAAAGACATTTGACAAAAAGTGTGTCCTTTCCACGAGCATGCTTCCAGTTGTGTTCCTGTAGAGATGGTATGAAATTGATAAAGAACAGAAAAAACTAACTTCCAAAGCTCATATATAACCTCATTTTCAATTTGCATTGGTTTCTTAACATATTTGTTACATGGCTTCAGATTGGTCCACTGAGAGAGGCCCTGGAGAAGTGTAAGAATGATAATATCAAGATGGCAAACTCCTTGGATGGCTTACTCTCATCAAATGGAAAGCTTCAGTCTACCGTGGAGAGGTTGCAGAATGAGGTGGAGAAAAAGAATTATCTGATGGAACAATTGAAGGAAGCCAGGTAAAGAATTTTGAATTATATTTAATGCTCTAAAGTCTGCTTTTCTAGAACTTTCTTATTCACTTTTGGCAAAATAAGAGAAATTTGTTTTCTTTTCTGATCCACTTAAAAAGAAAAACTTGATTTTATCAAGGCAGCCCTTTAGTTTTAAAACTGTGGCATTTTGAAAAAAAGAAAAAAACTATAAGGGAGGGGTACGGTATGATCAGTTTAAGAAAATTCTGCTATAATTTTGTGTGCTACTGTCACAAAAATCCATTTTGCAGGTCATTTAACAAAAACATTTTTCTTTAGGATTTATGAAGGAGAAACACCTTTCAGACAATCCTGATTTTAACATATCATACTTGCACAGGAAATCTTTATGATGCATTCCAGGGGTCAGGAGTTGGAAGAGAGAAAACAGGAGGTGCAGAGTTATGAAGAACGCCTGGATAACATGAGACAACAGTTGAGACAGGAGAGGGACAAAGCTGTGAAGAAAACCAACAAAGATATAACAGAGGTAGGTTACCTAGGATTTTTTTTAGGAAAAAAGTATTTACATGTATATGTTTTTATGTGTGTTGATATGTCTTTGTGTAAGAGAATATTTTTTTATTTGTGAAAGCAAGCTTTTTAGTTCATTTACAATGCCATAACCACTAGGGCATTTCAGTAGACTTTCCTTTGCTCTTAGCTAAGGTGTTTGCCTTTTTAACCCTTCTAAGTGTTTATTTTATATGCCAAATTATCTTTGTCCGGACCTAGGTAAGGAAGCAAAACGAGGAGCTAGTCAGCAAGAACGGTGAGCTGTCGCGCGCTAACCACGAGCTGAGGCACCGAGCGACGGAACTGGAGCACCAGGTGAAGGAACAGAAGGAGAAGATCTCCAGGCACCGCAGCCAGATAGAGCACCTGCATAAACTGAGACAGGAACAGGAGGAGACCATCAGCAAACTCAGGGTGAGGGGGTGGACAGGAATGATTTATAGCACTGGTCTAGAGCATTTATTTATTTATTTATTTATTTTTTTGGTGGGGGGGGAGAGGGGTCATTCCACAAAGACATGAATGTTTGAGTCCAATTTTGTATAATAGTTTCATTATTTTGACTTACCCAATAATTTTTTTTTCGCTGCTTTATACTGCAGTATGGAGAAAGAAATCAATGGTAATTAAGAAGTAATATAAAACAATTTTGCAAATATTGCACAGAATGTGTGGCTCATTGACATGATCACAATGTTCACTTTTCTTTCTTTCTTATTTATTTATTTTTTGTAAGTATGATGTTAATTGTAGAGGGAGATTAAAATTTTTATTTGCTTTTACTTAAAGTCAACAGAAGTGGAGTGTTTTAAAGCTTTGCTGGAAAATAATAGATGTTTATTGAAATTGAAATAAAAAAGGTAATGATTGCTGTATTTATGGTATGCTATTTGAAAATCAGTATTTTCATTTCTGCAAGTTTGTAAAGACTTTATAATTAATTTCAAACAGGTTATAGCAGATGAAGTAAAAGAACTAGAAAGGATGAGAGATGAATATGCGAAGAAAAATGAAGAACAGGTATTATGATCATATATTAGCAACTGAGATATTGCATATTCTTTGAATATATCATTTAAAATTATAATGATGAAATTTTTAGTTACATTCAATTTGTCATATCATCATCTTCAAGATGGTGGCATTTGCACACTTAAATTTTATGTTAATTTTATAAATGGTTGACGTTTTTATATTGATGCCCACTTGATGTAAGAAGTTAACTAACATTTTGATAAATAAATAAATAAATGGATTTCTTTATCTGTTTATTTTTGAATGAACTACTTTCATCTCATCAGGTCAATGTAGTCCAGAGCTTCATGTCTCAGATAGCCTCACTTCAGGCGGAGATCCGGGGTCTCTCTGAGGCTCAGCTGGAGACCAGCCAGGTGCTGGAGGACCAGGAGTACAAGCTCCAGTCAGAGAGAAAGCAGAGAGAAGAACTACATAGGAAATACAGGGTGAGTACAAGCTCCAGTCAGAGAGAAAGCAGAGAGAAGAACTACATAGGAAATACAGGGTGAGTACAAGCTCCAATCAGAGAGAAAGCAGAGAGAGGAACTACATAGGAAATACAGGGTGAGTACAAGCTCCAATCAGAGAGAAAGCAGAGAGAGGAACTACATAGGAAATACAGGGTGAGTACAAGCT